CCAAATTGCATTATTGACTCAGATGGCTCTTGACGAAGACGATGCAATTGCTGGAAGGCATCATCACAATCGTCAGCATGTCCAAATGCGCATTTGAAGACGTCCAGGAGAACACTCCAATCCCCACGAGTGGCTACACTCAAATCATTGTACCACCGCAATGCCGTCCCTTAAAGACACGTGGGAAACTTATGCAAATGTCAAGCATCATCCTAAAAATGATATATGGCAATCACCGTGAAGTGATCGAACCAATTGTACACATCATCTCTAAAATTCCCACAAAAGAACTCTAGTTGAATGCGAAGATTGGCACAAGGAGTAGGAGGAGTTGTACCATGTGCCGTGAATGCCGCCATCAACTAAGTTTGGTTGTTCAATTGCAATTGCATTGCATTAAACAATTGAACCAACTGTTACGTTAGAGTCAAAGGAGGAGACTGCTACTCTACCATAAAGGTGAATGAATAGGAAAGAGCAAAAGACGAGAAATGAGAAAAAAAACTAGAAGGAAAAAGAGATTTAGACAATGGAAAAGTTAGACCTAAACCAAAATCCTGAAAAGAAAGAACAAAAGAAAGGAAATGGAAAAAACTAGATCTAGATGACGCAAAAGTTGGATTTAAACCAAAATCCCAAATCTAAGCACTCCTCAGGGACAATAAAAAATGCCCCTCAACTCCACCAATATGAGTGCTTGGAATAAAAAATGGAAATACATGTAAGAGCGAGTGGTCCGGATTAAAGCCAATTTGATGGCTACCAAAATTCCACTATGTTAATATTAGTATATGGCATCATAGCTGTACACTTGGACCTCATATAATAAATTTATAGAGAAAAGTATTATTATCTCAACCTCTAAAAAATGCTAAAAATAGTTGTATATATATGTAGATAGACTAGCTTTTAAATAATTTTTAATATTAAGTTAGGTATTAAAAACATAAAATGTATGAGTGCATAGAATATAAAAATAAAATACAGAAATGTGCATATTTGATTAATCTAAAAACCCTAGCTTATGTACAAGGGTTTGAATTGAAACTAATCCAATAGCTATTAAAATCCTACAATACCAATATTAATTTATGCAATTGTATATCATCCCCTTCTTCTTAAAAGATGAAAGCAATTAAGGTTGTTTGGTTGATGAGTTGGGATTTTGAGAAACATTAGAAAAAGACACTAGTGTATTTGTAGGCAATTTTAATCCTTTTATATAACCACATAGCATAAAGTTGAGATCATCCACTTTATACTCTATAGGTAGATGATGATAATAGTTGAGTGTTCAATAGATTCTTCTCAAATCATTGGATGAATACTTATTGTATATTGATCCTAGGACTTAACATCAATAACTCATAGTAATTAAGAAGGTAAACTCAACTTTGTTAGCAATATTAAATCATCATTATATAAAAATTTATTTAGTGAAACATTAATAAAAATCTCTCTATGATATACGAATACCAAAAAGATAAAAAATAACTATCATAGTCTAAATTGTTAAAAGTTTATATGCTTTATGATCATCTATTTGAAGGTCTGAATTACCTATTCCACCAAACCATCTGTCTATGGATAATAAACACTTGTGATAATGTGTTGTATCCTCAATCAAGATGTAAGCAACCAAAAGGAACGACTTGAGAGACGATCCATGGGGTTCAAATATAGAGGGAAAGGGCCCATGAATAAGAGTGCACCCCCTTTTCCAATCGGTTAAGGGTCTTGGGATATTTGGGGTTAAGCGTCCTTGGGTTTGAATAGTACTGGGCTGGGTGACCTCCCGGGAAGTCCAAACTCAAGAGTTTACACAAGACATCAAGATATAAAATGCTTTAGCCATAAATGCAAGACCTTTATCTAAAAGAATCTACTCCGGATATAAATGTTAAACCACCAAAAAGCAATACTGACATACTCATTGTTAACAGTTGATTGTGGAAAAAACTCTATTAAATCAAATGTCATAAGCTCAAAAGGATGAAAATTACAATTAACTTTAACCATGGTTTTCAAATATTGCTATTGCAATTACTTCATTATTAAAGTGGAGGTACTATTGTTTTTACTATTTAATAGGTATAAAACTTTAAGTATATAATTTTGAGATTGTTTATTACTTAAACAGTTTTATGGTTAACGTTAACACCCTTTTTTGAGTTTTTATCTTTTCTTTACTCTCTTTTTATGTTCTTGACCATATTATTCTAGTATCAAAAAATTTTTTAGATAAGGATTCCATGGCATTGGTAATTGTTATATTTAATATTTAATGTCCATAGAGTGTAAAACTAAATTTATCTTTTCTTGACAAAGTTCGTGAGGCTCAAAAAGTTAAGCCATAAATCTAAAGCTTTTGATGGGTTTGAGAATCTTACATCACTTGTTAATAATTTATTCTTTTGATATTTACATTTTTAATACTGCCTTAAAGATGACTTTCTTTACTTTGTGAAGATTGATTTTAATAATTATGTGGTGCCTTTAATCTTTATTCTACACTTTCTTTATATATACCATGACTTTTCTATTCTAGATAAGCATATAAGACATCAATGTGTGAGTGAGAAGCTATGCAAGTTTTTTTTTATTGGTGGAAGATGCAACATAATGTTATTTAATATTTGCATAGTTGCATAAACTTGTAATACTCCCCTCATGGTGCAAAAGGATGATTAAAGTTGATTATAACTTGTCTTGTTAAATGGAAGTTAGTGCTCTTGCTAGTGCATATATAACTATTATTAGATATTTTTTCCTCAATTGAATGGTGTTTTAACATTCATATTTAGAGCAGATTTTCCCAGATAATAATTTTGCATTTATGGCTGAGACATTTTATATTTTGACATCTTGACTAGGGATACATCACAATTTCACAACACAAATGGATGGTTTAGTGAAATTGTTTATTTAGACTTTTAAGAGGATAATCTTATAAAGTATACGAACTTTTAACATTTAGATTGGGATGGTTATTTGTTATCCCTCTGGTATGTATATATCACAAGAATGTAGATTTCAATTAGTGCTTTACCATAAAAACTCTTATATGATTGTGACTTGATATTGCTATTAGAGTTGAGTTTATCTTCACGATTGTTATAAATTATCAATACTAAATCTAGAAATCAATATTTGACATGCTTTGTGGAGGACTATCTTCACTCTATTGCACCATACTTAGAAGAGAATCAAAGAATTTGAGTAAGAGATGAAAAGCTAAGATAATTTGAGATTATTAAAGACCTATACTTATACAACAATTGATGTTAGATTGTGTTGACTTGACAGCCTATATTAGTGCAGTTAATCACTCAAATTAAAGAAATTCCATTTTTAGCTACTTAAACTTATTACAAAATACTAGATTCTTTCCTTCTAGAGGGGCTTCAAACAAGTGATATATATTTACAAGTACTCTCCTCTTTTTAAGTTTGATAGATAGTAAAAAGTCTCCTCTACATTGAGCTCAACTTAGTTTAATAAAAAGGAAAATTTTAATTTTCATTAAAGGATGTATGAAAAGTAAATTAATAATTTATTATAATAAATTACTATGTGTTGCATATAGCAACACTTGGTTTGCTTAATGGTAGTTTTATTATTACTTATTAATCCAATCGATCAAATAAACTTTATAATTATAAGCATGTATGTTATTTATAAACACAAGATTAATCTTATTGCATATCAACCATTAGATGATAGAATAAAAAAGAATATACTAAAAAGGGTTTAAGAAAAGTTTATAAATTATAAGTACAAGATTAATCTAAATGAATAACAACCATTAGATTGTAGAATATCCTAGAATATCCAAGCATATTCTAGGTATATTCACTACCATCCATAGGTTTGCTTAAGAAAACCAAAAATGGCTTATACTACCGTTACCTTGATATAAAAATGAAATTTTTTTTTAATAATATTCTAATTAGTAGTTTTTTGTGTGATATGCTATAATAGTTTTAGTTTGTGGTTATATCATTGTTTAATTTGGATCCCAAGCTCAACCCCCAGTCTTGTGCTCAAATTCCACTTGGGACATCCCCCCAACAGACCCTGCCCCGAGCACCCTGCGCACCCCGACGCTGGCGGGCAGACCGATGTGGAGTCATTGGTTGGGCGACCGAGACTCTCTAAGTACGGCCCACAGGTGTCTTGCTTGCTTGTGTGAGAGAGTATATATTCAACCAGGACTCCTGATGGAGCTTTTATCTTTTTTGTAATTTTACACTTAGAAGTAGGGACTTTCTTACTTGGCTTCTCCATCCCGTGGCAGTCTGAAATCACGGGCCATGGTGTGGTGGGGATCTTGCTATTGTAAATTTCCTGCAAAATTCCTCCCACTCCCGTCAGCTTGTGGTATCTATAAATCTATGCAAAGTTCCGCTCACCCTCGTCAGCATGTGGTCATTTTCTTCTTTGCAAGTAGGTAATGAAGTTTGGCAAAGGGGAGGTAGAGATTGCTGCTTTTGCAGCTGTGGTTTGCGACCTGGTTTGCAATCATCTAACCTGGTGTCTTTTGATTTTTAAAAGGATCTAATTAACTCTAAATATTTCAATGCAAGCCTCATATAATATGGGTACAAGGGATCCACTTGATGATGAATCAACTTTCCAGTTCCAAGTAACGAATCAATTTAATTTTGTTTACAGTCCACTTGTACCCGCTTAGGAAGCACGGACATTTCAAGCACCAACCCAGCTTTGCTCTAGAATGCATCATTGCCAAGTTCGCTTTCTTGTCACGAGGCTTAAAAGTACAAATAATTGGAGTGATAACTAGGTCCAAATCCTATACGTGATTCGCCTGGCCAAGAATATCCGAGGAGACTTAATCGAGATTACATTTGATAGAATCAAATATTGAAGATATACTTGTCTCAAAAGTCTTGCGTTGCTTTAGAGGTGGCCTAAAGTTTGGTGTGATTTGTCGAGTATTTAAAGGCATAGATGTCCCTGAGATTAATAACTCACACTATCCAAGCAATATTAGAAGATTAAATCGAAGAAAATGGCAAAATCAAGCATAGCATTCATTCTCCCACTTGCATGCCTCCTGCTTGCGAGTGCTGTTCATGTTTCAGCTTTAGACAATGATGTTAGTGGAGACCTCTCTGGTATGGTATATAACCTGGTCTAAACTTTTGTTTGACTCTTTGTCCATGTAAATGTTTTTGCAAGGCACTATGAGATCTCTAAAGACGGTGCTTCCTACAAATGGAACTTCATCAAACATTGGTGTCCCATTGGATCTAGTTGACAAAGTACTTGGAATTGTCACTCAAGTTATAGCTAGTTTAAAGGCCCTCGTCCTCAAAGTTCCCTTGCTGTGTGTCATCCTTTATCCAGTGATTATCATCCTTGAGATCATTGTGATCTACATCCCTGGTGGCTACCCTTGCCCAATTATCATTGGCGTCATCTGCAAGTATCTGGGCAATGCCATTCCTGTGTGGACTCCAATCAAGTTCATCAAAGTTGATCTAACGGTTATCTTGAGCCTCACCGCAACTATCAAGCTTCTGCAGAGTGTGATTATCCTTGTTACTCCAAACAGCTGCATTTTCCTTGTGCTGAGTGCAGTGGTTAGTATCCTTAAGTCGGTGCTTGCATTACTCTATTAAGCTGTAATAGCGAAATGCAAATGCAAAATGCAAAATGTTTAGAATAAACAATCAAATAAAACTATACTAATATTATTGATCATTGGAGTTATTTTAGAGTTGGATTTCAGGAATCTCACAGCTCTTATTCACGTCCATGGAGCGTGCCGATGTCGATCGACTCCATCTCTCGCTCCTTAAGCTGCAAGCCCTTCATCACACAGAATTTCCTTTAGCGCCTTTGTTCGATCAACAACCGTTGATCGAAGTGACAATGCCTGTGAGATAGGCATCTGAGGCCGCAGCTGCTCGCCACAAGAAACTCCACTTCTTCAACTTCATGCTGCTCATGGGATTTTCCCAGCAGCTCCACCCATCGTCGTTTTCGTTGTCGCTCGCCCACATTGCACTCGCCACTCCTAGAAAAGCGGGAGTCGAACATCCACGTCCATCCACGTCCATCCACGTCCATCCACGGACATCCACGTGCCGCCATTAGCAAACTTGCTAATTTATACTTAATTAACACTGTATACCAAACGTTCACTATCAATTTTAATAATGTACGTATATAATAAAATGAATAATGATCAAATCTCCAGCTCGTCCACCTTGCCGCTGCCGTCCTTTGTAGCTTCAAGCGTGTGACTTTTGATGAATATCAAACCGCTCGTAGATGAATAGTTGGACCCTTCTTATCCGGCCGCCTCCTGTATAGTCTTGAGCTTATCATGATCCTCCCACAGCCCCGCGCTCCGGTAGATGCTCGCCATCAGAACGTACGCAGCCGAGTCTTTCCCGTCGATCTTCGTCAGTGCCTCGAACGCAATCCTGCCCACTTCCACGTTCTTCGGCAGGCCCCGAGGACGCTCCTCCAGACCACAGCGTCGCTCTCAAAGGCCTGCTCTCGAGGACTTTGACGGCCTCTTCCAGTCGGTTTGCACGCCCGAAGAGATCCACCAAGCTGCTGTAGTGATGAATCCCCACTTCCACGTTCTTCCACTTGCGGCAGGCCCCGAGGACGGTCCTCCAAACCACAGATCCACCATGCACTGCTGTAGTGATGAATCCCGCAAACAATGCCAGAGTTCGGGTCCATTGCCTGGAAAAACTCCCTGCCTCGTTCAACCAGGCCGCCGTGGCTGCATGCAGTGATGACCGAGACAAACGTGATCGCGTTTGCTCGCACGCCATCTTCTCGCATCTCGCAAAAGGCTTCGAACACGCGCCCTGTTGGCCGAATCCTGTGACCAGTGCATTTCTCCGACTGCCAGAGATTCAAACAAGTGCTCGGCCGCAGTCATAACCCCGCACCTCCCGTAGAAGTTTACCATGCACGTCCCCACAACATGGTCGTCTTCCAGCCCACGCCTGCAAAACTCAGTCTGGATTTTCCTTCCAGCTTCACTGGACCCAACGTTCCCACAGGCCATAAGTCCCGCTACAAGAGTCCGAGAGTTTGGAGCACAGTCCATGCTCTCCAAGAGTTCCAGCCCGAGCTCACTCTCACCGTTGTCTACATATCCCTGTATCAAGCTCGTCCAAACGACAACGTCCCGGCTAGGCATGCGTTTGAAAACTGCTCGAGCTTTCACCATATCTCCATACTTGGCATACATGTCCACCAAGCTGCTCCCGACAAATCTGTGCTCGCAGCATCCAAACTTCGCGGCGAGAGAATGAATCTCCATCCCCTTTTCTAGGCTCTGGATTCGCAATAGCTTTCCATCTTCTCGCGGAACAGGTTGTTCGGATGCTGAAAGGTGGACGCAGGCCATGACCGCAGCAATAAACGTTCTCTCGTCCGGATCGTTCTCCCGAGCCATGCCGAAGACCAGCTCCAAGGCCAGCTTGCTGTCTCCACTTCCAGCAGATCCCTGGATCGTTGCGTTCCACGAAGACCTTGCGAGCTTCCTCTAGCGTCCCACACTTCGCGTACATATCGATCAGTGTGTTCCCCACGAACACATCCTCACAGCACCTATTGTTTGAAGCTTCACCGTGGATAGCCAGCCCAGTTTCCAAGCTCTTTCTCTTCACGAGTTTCCCGTCGACATCCACCGCTTCCTCTCGCATTGCCGAGCTCGCACAGGCGGCAAGCGTAGCAACATACGTTCGAGAGTTTGGACAGCACCCGGATAGCTTCATATCTTCGAAGAACACGAGAGCCAGCTCGCTTTCCCCGTTGTCCACAAAGCCTTGTATCAAGCTCGTCCAGAGCACGACATCACGGCGAGGCATGCTCTCGAAAACCATCCACGCGTCGACCATGCTCCCACACTTCGAGTACATGTCCACGAGGCTGCTCCCCTCGAAGATATCTCCACAGCAGTGGCTTTTCACAGCTCCATCGTGAACAGCGAGCCCCTTCTCCAGGCTCTTCGTCTTCACCATCTTTCCATCTCCTTGAGTGGCCTCCTCTTTCACTGCTAGATTCGCACAGGCCTTGGCAGCAGCAACGAAAGTCTGAGAGTTTGGCGAGCAGTCCATCCTCCCAAAGAACTCGAGAGCGACCTCGCTTTCTCCATTCTCTACGTAGCCCAGTATCAAAGCAGACCACGTCTCGCCGTGGCATCTCATCGAAGACCGATCGAGCATCGAGCATGCTGCCGCACTTGGAGTACATATCGATCAGCGAGCTCGAAAACGTCTTCGCTGCAAGATGGCCCCATCTGCTTGGCTTGAGAGTGGATGCCTCTGCCGGTCTCGAGACTAGCCTCCTTGACGAGCTTCCCGTCGACCAAAACAGCGGCTTCCTTCGCCGCGAGGCTGCTACAAGCCTTCGACGCGGCCATGAAGCTCCTGGAGTTTGGCTTGCAGCCCGACCGCCTGGCTTGCATCCTCTCGAAGAGATCCAGAGCCACATCGCTCTCGCCATTGTAGCCCAGCATCAAAACGCTCCAGGACATCACGTTTGGGTGAAGAATGCTGTCGAACACGCGGCGGGAATCCTCCATGCTGCCGCATTTTGCGTACATGTCCACCAGCGCATTGACGACATAGATCCCCAGCTGCTTGCTCTCCGCCGCCTGGGCGTGGATCGCCTTGCTAGCAAATATTTAGGGTTCTTGCGATGGATGGGAAGAGTTCGCTTGTTCCATGGCTTGGCGACGGCAGCGATTCGATGCGCCGCACCAGCATTCGCTCCTTCGGCAGCGCAGCCCGATCAGCAGGCGGCCGCGCTGGTGTCGGCGCTGGATTTGCTGGAAATTCAACCAAGGCCGTCGATTCAAGAATATCGGACGGTTGGAAATGAATCTGGGACCATTTACATTCACCGCGACGCTAATGTTCTTCATCACTTCATACACCGTGAAGGCAATCCCCACGCCCGGAAAAAAGGTACTCGAGCAAAATCCCCCTGTACAACCCAGCAATGTGCCTCAGCGAGCTCGCAATCCCCATCTCCGATCGCCCTCGAGTTGCATCCTTCTCTTTCCCAAATCGATCGGAAACACCACTGAAAACAGGAGCGATGGCGATCAAACGTAATCGATCTTAAGACTCTCACCTGTTGAGGGCTACTCCACCGGAGATCAAGCTCGTCACCATCCTGGACGAGTCGGGCCTGAAAGTAAACATGCTCACACTCTAGTCCAAGGACTCGAAACTAAGAAAAAATCCACCTTTGAGCGTTCCAGTAATAAGCTCTCGAAGAACGTGCTAAAAGCGTCGGCCAGAGCCCCTTGTAAAGGCCAAGAAAGCTCTCCTGTGGAAAGCGTGTGGCAGATGCCCGTGTAGTGCTTTGAGGTTGTATGCAAATCACAGTGGTCATTTCACTTGCGAGGTGAAGAGCACGGCGCAAAATAAGTCCCAAGAAACTCTCTGTCAAAGCCATACTTCAGCTAAGAGCTTCTGTTGATGATTGTGGTGTGATGTTCCACAGAAGTCGTTTGGCTGCCGGATGCTGGATCTCTTGGTGGCACTCGGACATCTTGGCTGCCGTTTCAAGGAGCGTGATCGCTTGATCCAAGCTGACCGGTGCCATCCTGCACTGTTGCGTGCTATTCACTCGGAAGACTACGCTTGAAGTCATATCGAGGATAAGTTATTTCGTCTTTCTTCCAGCTTTGATGGTCCAGCACGCTCTATCGTTGACTGTTTTTCTTTGAACATCAGTCCAACTGGTGGACTAGATAGTCATGGTCCTAAAGGAGATGTACTGTGTTCCGTAAGAAGTTCTAAGGCCACATTTTATATTCCAGATCGCTACCTTGTGCAGTTTTCTGATCTATCAAATGGTTTGAATAAGAAGTAGCGGCCACGTCTTTCTCCAATTTGCTGCGGTTTTGTTTCTACTCTGCCTTTTTCACAACATCTCGGTCGCAGTGCCCCAGGAATCCATCCGGGATCGTCAACGACACACAGGTTCTTCTCTCTCTCGGAGTGCCATCAACGTGTGGAACAAGACTGTCAATCCAAACGAATGGCCGGGGCTGTCTCGCCTGGACCTCTCTCATAACAACATCTCCTCGCTGAAGGTGGTTGGCTGCAGGAACATGCGGCTCAAGCTTCTCAACTTCTTTGCAAGAGTTCCTGGAAAATCTCTCCAGCCTTGGGAGTTTAGAAATCTTGGATCTCAGTTAGAACATCTTACAGTCCCATAACGACCTTGTTTCCATCAGTTGGACCTCTCGCACAACGAATTCAGTGGCTCCATTCCAGAGACTCACGAACTTGACGTGCCTGGACATTTCGTATAACAGGTTTAGTGGAGATTTACCCAATATTTGAAGCAAGAACGTCTGTGGAACGTCTCAAACAATTCCAGACCAGGCTTGTGTTTGTGCGCTGCAAGTATGAACCATAATTTAAATTCTCAATAAATTTTTGAATATATGTTTATTTTGCATAAGTATGGTAATGGATATATCTAAAATATGCTTGAAAATTTTGGTTTATTATTTAATGTTGTGTTTATAATTTATAAACATGTATATCATTTAAAAATTTGGTATGTGTTGCATGTAGCAACACTTGGTTTTCTTAATAGTAGTGTTATTCCTTTATTAATCCAATTGATCAAATGGAAGTTTATAATTATAAAACTATTTATAATTTATAAACACAAAATTAATCTTATTTAATATTAACCATTATATGGTAGAATAAATGAGAATATACTAGGAAGTGTTTAATAAGAAATTTTATAAATTATAAATACAAGATTAATCTAAATGTATAACAACCGTTAGATGGTAGAATATCCTAGAATATCCAAAAATATTCTAGGTATTTAGTAGCAACAGGTTTCCTTAAGCAAACAAAAAATTTCCATAAACACCTCCAAGTATATTCTAGCATATTCTACAATCTAATGGTGTATATACATTTAGATTAATCATGTGTTTTTTATTTATAGTAAATTTAACTTATATTAAAAATTAGTTTATGATGTTTTTATACACTTTTAGAGAGCTTTTCCTGCTGGCTTTGCAAGCAATGGTTCAGAGATCCTGCAAGGGACCTGTGGTAGCAATATAAAATATTACTTCTCTTTGCTATTCTGTTTTAATCCAAACACCCACACATCTCCATCTTCTTGCCAACTCAGACTGCCTTGAAGCTCATTAACTAACTCACTAAGTGATATTGTAATTTCTATAGAGGTGCTGTTATTCTCAAGGAGAAGTTCAAGTGGAGAGGGCAAGTCATTATGGGGGATATTTCCTTGGATCCTTGTATGACTTTCTCTAATTCTATGATTTTTTAGTTTACTTAAACAAAGTAATACACAAAGATATGCTTGGATATTCTATTATCTAACAGTTGTTATTCATTTATATTAATTTGGCAATTATAATTTATATACATGGTTATAATTTGAGAAATTGAGAAGCTAAAGAAATTACGTAAAGCCAATAATGAGAGAAAAGAAGAAATATTAACTAGGTGTTGTAATACTAAGGTTAGGATTAAAATGGAATAAGTGAAGAAGAGATATAAAAATAACAAAAATAAAATATTAATTTAATAAATATATAATATAATTATTAGTAAATTTATAGGGAAAAGTATTACTACCTAGACCTCTAAAAAATACTAAAAATAGTTGTATATATATGTAGACAGACTAGCTTTTAAATATTTTTTAATATTAAGTTAGGTATTAAAAATAAAAATGTATGAGTGCATGGAATATAGAAATGAAATACAAACATGTGCATATTTGATTAATCTAAAAACCCTAACTTATATACAAGGGTTTGAATTGAAACTAATCCAATGGCTATTAAAATCCTACTATACCAATATTAATATATGCAATTGTATATCATCCCCTTCTTTTTAAAAGATGGAAAGTAGTTAAAGTTGCTTGATTGATAGGTTGGGATTTGGAGAAACATTAGGAAAAAACACTAGTATATCTGTAGGCAATCTTAATCCTTTTATATGACCATATAGCATAAAGTTAAATCATCCACTTTATACTCTATAGGTAGACAATGATAATAGTTGAGTGTTCAATAGATTCTTTTTAAATCACTAGAAGAATACTTATTATATATTGATCTTAGGACTCAATAATTCATAAAAATTAGGAAGGTAAACTCAACTTTGTTAGCAATATTTGATCATCATTATATAAAAATTTATATAGCAAAGCACTAATAAAAATCTCTACCCCATGATATACAAATACTAAAAAGATAATAAATAACTATCCTAGTCTAAATTGTTAAAAGTTCATATGCTTTATGATCATCCCTTTGAAGGTCTGAACTAACCATTTCATTAAAGCATTTATCTATGGATAATAAACACTTCTGATAGTGTGGTATATTTTCAATCAAGACATTAAAATATAAAATGCCTTAGTTATAAATGCAAGATTATTATCCAAAAGAATCTACTCTGGATATAAATGTTAAACCACCACTCAATTGAGGATGAAATATTTAATAATAGTTGCAAATGTATTAGTTAAAACACAAACTTCCACCCAACAAATCAAGTAGTTAAAAGCATAATTAATATTAAATTAAATGCCATAAAATCAAAAGGATGGAAAATTATAATTAACCCTAACCATGGTTTTCAAATATAGTTACTATGGTTACTTTATTATTGAAGTGGATGTACATAGTTTTTAATATTTATTGAGTTCTAAAGCTTTAAATATATAATTTTGAGGTTATTCATTGCTTAGACAGTTTTATGGTTAATGTTAACACCCTTTTTCAAGTTTTTCTCTTTCTTTACTCTCTTTTCATATTCTTAACCTTTATTATTCTAGTATCAATAAATTTTTTAGATGAGGATTCCATGGCATTAGCAGTTGTTATATTTAATATTCAATGTCCACAAAGTGTAAAACTATATTTAATTTTTTTGATAAAGCTCGTGAGGTTTAAAAAGTTAAACCATAGATTTAAAGGCTTTATGATGGATTTGAGAATTCTATATCACTTATTAATAATTTATTCTTTTTATATTTACATTCTCAATACTACATTAAAGATGACTTTCTTTACTTTGTGGAGACTAATTTTAATAACTATGTGGTGTCTTCAATCTTTATTCTACACTTTCTTTATATTTATCATGACTCTTTTATTTTAAATAGACATATAAAACAT